CGGGGGTGGAGGCGGGCGGCTGGATCAGGTGGATGATCTTGGGGATGGGCCAGGAGGCGGAAGCCGAGGGGTCAAGGAGATCTGGGCGCTCGCTCCTGGGTGGGTGGCGCATGGATTGGAGGGCTGTGCTTAGGGGCTGGTTGGGGCCGGGTCGCGGGCATGCCGACGAGGCAGGCCACGCTGGTGACGTGAGTGCTGCCTGGCTAGAATCTGCGTGGCGCTGCATCCTGACCCGCTGCCCCCCAGGCCCCAGCATGCCGCCAACAAGGGGGCGGCTGCGCAGTAGCTTCCACGTGATGTCACCTGAACCACGGCTTGTCGAGGATGCTGCTGGTGGCCCGCACGGCGGCGCCTGTGGTGGCGATCACCCTGACAGCAAACAGCGCCCGCGCCAGCAGCACCACCAGCGGCAGCGCCGCCAGCGCCGCCGCGGCCGCCGCGGCTGCACGGAGGGCGGGGCTCGGCTGCGCGCGCGGCGCAGCGGCGCTCGCGGCGCCGCCGTGGGAGGAGCGGCGGCCGTTGACCCCCGGGGAGGCGCGCAGCAGCGGGCCGCCCAGCAGCGGCGTGGGCGATCTGCGGGCCGCGTGGAGGGGCTTGGGGTTACCAGATCCGTAACATCTCCATATAAATCGTATGCGGGGAAAGGGGCCCCTTGGCAATGCACGGTCGCTGCGGCTTTGAACGGCGTCGCCGCTTGTGCTGCACCTGCATGTCTGCACTCGGACGCAGGTGCCTGCCTGCAGCAACCGTCCCTCCCTGCACAGCACCGGTGGCATGGCAGCGCGGCAGTTGCTATGGACTTACATTGCAGCCATGCCTCGTCGTACGGCTTTCGCCACCAGAAACACAAGCGAGCCGAGCTGTGCGACGGTCGGTAAACTCGATCCTAGCTGGCAACGAACGGTCGAGGACTTGTAGCGATTACTTACACATAAGGCTTATATGGTGACGTCCACGCGGCAGCAGCTCACCTGCTGCTCACTCGCGACGTGGCTGCGTGTCACTGGGTGCCGCCACGTCAGGTTTGTTCAGGTCCCAGGCTCACCCCCCCCCCCCGGTTCTTGGGCCAAGTCGACGCCTCCCCTCAGACCCACCATCACCACCAT